AAACAATATTTTATTGTCTATGTTTCCGTAGTAATGACCAAGGAGCTGCTCAGTTCCTTGTCAGTTTACCTGGGCCCTGAAACAGCACCATGCAACTGGTTATCTCCATTCTGCTGGAGCTCGTGACAGGCATACAATAACTCACCAAGTTCAGCTTCCTGCAGAAAGACTGGAGACACAACATGCCACAGAGGATAGGAAGACTACATAGATTTTTTTTCCCCAGTCCTGTGAGCACGTGTTACTCACCTGCCCACTCCTTGACACACTTTCCCAAATACTGCGAAGTCTGCACGCCAGGGTGCCTCTCTGGAGTGTACAATAATATCATCTCCTTGGGTAAAGACTCCTGGTTCACCAGGGCATTGGAGAAGGGTGAGGATGAAGTAATCCTTCACATCACGAGATCCTGAGAGGGGACATGTCACTGTCTCTGTATTGCCTCTGCGTGGACCTGCAGCTTCCTGGAAGACCCATAAAGGATCCTGTGAAACTGTTACTTATGATTTCCCATTCCAGCAGGCCTCAAATATTTCTACAACTAAACCACTACAATAGTAGCATTTGCAGTATTTCTGTAAGTGCCTAGAGATAATCTCATTGTGAAAGACATCTCATAAAAACAAATATTACTCTCCCTTACCCAAAACCCATCTATTTTTGGCTTTTGACTGCAGATTATATGACTTCTACCTGCCTCATTGTGGGGGTCATAATGAGAAGGAAACATTCTCTGACATACTTCTTAATATGCTCTCCACTTAATGTAGCGTTTAGATTAACACACCATGACACAATACACACTGTATAATTTTTTCTTTTTTTTTTTTTTTTTTTTGGAATAGAGTGAAGCTTATCATTAACAGAGCTAGCAAATGCCCCATCTGAAACCCAGGTGGGTTTGGCAGATGGATATAAAGTAGTAAACTGAATATATCAGTAGAGTGTGCAAGCTGGTGAGAGCTAACTGCCTGAGTTATTTTTGTTCAGTTGAGCCGATGATTGCTATTTTCTATAATGATAAATGAATTTGTTCTTCCAGATTTTAAATTGGTATATTTTTCTGAATTTTCCTTATTTCTGAAAAAATAAAAGAATCATTTAGAAATTAATGTAACCAGGTGGAAAAAAAAAAAAAAAAGTGTGGAAAAGCATTAAAGCCTATTTTTATTGTATATACAAAAATGTATCTTTAAATTCACAACATATTATATATCTCCCAATACATACTGAATAGACATTTTATTATCAGATTTAAAGATCTGCTAAGAACTCTGTCTTGTGCAGAAGAGTACAATAAAAAGCACAATCCACCTATGGCAAGCCCTCCCTTTTTGTTTTTTTTTCTTTTCTTTTTTTTTTTTTCACTGTGGTAACATTCAGCTTTTAGAACAGCAATTTCCTTATATATTCATAGCAAGTAACTTGAGCCTACCTGAAGTAAATGTCATATAAAAATGAGGAAAAAAACCCCAAACAATTAAATAAGTTGTCATGCTCTATCGTTACCTCTTGTCCTCAAATCTGACATCTTCCTATGCCTAGATACCCATTATTTTTATTTGCACCAGTTTGGGTTTGCCATTTCCTGATGTAAAGACTTATAGCTCCAAAAAGTGGGCAACTGTTAAATGACTGGTTAAAATGGAAGAGCTGTTATGGCAGTTCAGATTTCACATATAGGAAATATATGTACATCTATGCATAGTCTTCTCAGGTTAGGGATTGGGACAACTCGTAACCACATCCCAGTCTCAGCTGCATCCTAGAATAAGTTTCTGTCTAAAGCTTGTTTTCTTTTCAGCTCAGGCCTGCATCAATGTATGCTGCAAGGTACTAGCAGTCAGACAGCAAAGCTTGTGGTTTTGGGAAGGGCTCCTCTGTGTTTTCTTCAGGGTCAGAAGAATGGAGTACAGGTTTTGGATGGGGATGTCTGCTTATTCATTTAACAAAATTCTGTGCTTCACTTCAAATCAGTCTTCTGAGTGTTTGTTTAAGCATCAAATGCCTAGCATGAACTCTTCTTTGGTGATGAAACCCATGAAATTCTTGCCATGTTCCAAGGCTGTTAGCACATAATGATTTGACTGTTCATACTAATATATATTTCATTGTTTCTGAGCTCTCCAGGCAGCCAGAAAGCATAGAGGGACTGACGGTCCTCTACTACTTGGGTTCTGCTCCTCTTTCTATACCCTTAGACAGTAGCTGGGTTTTAAAGCAATTAACAGAGATTCTAAGACTTCTTTCTGAACAGTGGGAGAAGAGAACAATCCCCTATTAAATTCCAAAGTCTGTCACTGCTGGCGAGTGCCTTTGCCTGCTTTATGCTCCCCCCTGAATTCATGCACAGCTTTTGTCTGTTCCAGGAGTCACTGAAGCAGAGACTTCGCAGAGTTCCAATCAGAGCATCTTGTGGCAAGTTATCTCCCACTGCAGTCTGAAACAGGAGATTTTTAGCCCTGCTTGAGTGGCTAAATTGGCCATAGATTTTTTTATACCATACCTAATTCTGTTTCAAAACGCCATTATAAAGAAGGCAATCACTGAACAGGAAGTTTCAGCAGTTTACACACCATAGCAACTACAATAACATCTATAGTATTTTGGACTTTTTTTAGCTCACATTTTGGGAGGTTTTTTGGTTATGTTTTTTTTCTTTTTCCATAATGGCATAATTGTTAAAGAGAAAGATGATTGGCATTGTTAGAACATTTCTATTTGTCCTGCAACATCATGTCTCCACTGTGGATTCTATCATAACTTTTCTAACACTGAATTCTGCTTGTTATTTGAGGTTGTATTTCACGGGTATACACACAACCTTCAATATGTGGAGATGAGTTAGACATAACACTAGTATTGTTGGAGATGGGGATATATAATATATATAATGATATTATATATAAGATATATAATTGCCTTAGCAAAGGAGAAGTGCATGTGGTGTTTGTACAATTCCTTCAGCACACAGAAGACACAAGAAACACTTGAAAGTTTTCTGGATGTGGTGTTTTCAAAATTTGCAATGGACAACAATGGAGCCCCTGTTGGTACTGAAGTATTCGGGATGACTAAACCAATTTGTTTACTTAAAACCAGAGCTGATAAATCTTACACTCCCCACCCCAGGTTCTTTCTTACTTACTAAATTTTGGGACATTGAAAAAAATCCAGGCTCAGAAACAGAGTCAGACCTCAAGTATTGCTACATCTATTGATCTACTACCTCTGTTCATTGTGTGACATGATTATAGGATCCTGCAGGATAACAGGCTTTATGCAAATATATCACAAGATATACTTCCCAACTTCTCAGCAATGTTTCTGCATAAACACAAAATAAAACATGTTAATGTTTTTTATCAAGCTTTCTGATCATGCAACCGTGTTCTATAAATCAGATGCGTGTTCTCTGAGGATGTCTTCTTTCAGAGGAAGTATTCTCCTTTCTGGTATTGCTTGAACATGTAAAAAGTGATATTCCAACATTCAAGGTAGGAATACACTGAAAAATACTTTCAAAGTTTGTGGTTTTGATGCACTAATTACTAAAGCACACACTAGAAATTTTACCTTGATTACTGACATCTCCTGCCCGTGTGAACTGCAACTATTACACTGAAAATCTGATGGTTTAGGTTTGTATCTGGAGTCCACTGTCTGGAGTCCTCACTACTAATGGGAACCAACTAGCTCTATGCTGAGAACATTAAATGTCAAACAGGCCTCCTCTCAGTGTGGCAGTGGGGGGTCCTGACTAGGTACAGTCAGACCTCATGGTTCAATACCTTTTCACCTGCATGTCTAACCTATATAGCTGGCTAAATCTGTTACAAATATTTTCTTTTATTTCAAACATTTTCCATTACTTTGATTCAAGAAAAGTGAGAAACAAGAAGCAAAATGGTCTGGAAGACTATATATCCTTATGAGTACTGATTTCCTTTCAGTATAAGAGAAGAGAATCAGTTAATCAATCTGTTGATTTCTTCCCACCCATCCATCCATTCATCCATCCTTTTCTTCTCATACAAAGATAAGGCAACAGTCTGATAGTGTGTTGTTTGCATCAGCAACTTGGGCTCAGGGTATGCAGACCTGTCCCTGTGCACAGTACACCATTCCTTCAGCAATATCAACCCATTCGCAGTTCATGCTGTAAGCTAAATCATGGAAGAGTTCTGACTTTAAAAAAAAGCAATATCATAACACATAAATTTTGAGTGGTTTGTTTGGGGTTTTTTAAGCCAGATCAGCTTTCTGATCCAGTTCAGAGGTAGTTCTCATCAATTATTATGTTACAATGGGGACAACACAAGTCACTGAAGGCAGTGCACTGGTGAAGCAGCACCCAACATTAAAATTAAAATGCAAGTAATGACTTGAAACCTGATGTTCATTTCCAGAAGCAGAACAATTCTTAAACTCATTTTTAAAAATAGGCACCTTATTATATATGTGTAAAAAGGAAACGCCTGCATTTCTTTTTTTTTTTTTCTCAGGATGCCTGAGGATCAATGTAAGGACGCCCAGACACTTTGACTGGAGCACAGATGTCTAAGACAGGCAATGTTTGTAGTACTTCCTTTCCAAGGTATATTTAAGAGTGAACATGCAGAAAACACAGTATATAACAGTTCAGATACATAAGCAGAACAGTTACCATCAGTATAGGTGCTCCCCCATTAAGTCCCAGTTTCTCAGAGAAAGATACTCAAACTTGGGTGTTTGACTCTTCTTTTATACTAGTCAGATAGATACATTATTGAAGCATCACAGATGCTTTTATACTTCAATTTATACTTCAACTGACCTCATCTGAATTAATCCAATTACTTTAGAGATTACTTTGGTCCATGTAGTTATTTATAGCTGTCAGGCTTTATGCGGAAAACCTCTGCACTGTAAGAAACAGGCCACCAACAAAATAAATTTGCTAAGTATATTAAAAAGTTGTTTTCCCTTCCCCAGGGGTAAACATAGAATTGCAACCAAGGAGAAGTCATTGAATAATCAGTCACTTGCCAGCTATCACCCAATGATGGTGAGTCTATAATACTTCAGAATACAGAGGAAAAGTATGATATTCTCAGATATATGGGAACTGCTGGCAAATGCTACAATCTAAAGTTGTGTATGATGTATGTTCCTTATTATAAATATTGTATCCAAATGTGGAAGAGCACAGAGAGCTGTTTGAACACGTGGAATATATTTTAAAAATTTCAGTCATTCAGAGACAGATGCCTTAGCCAGGTACACCTTTTTCTTATGAAAAACAAAACAACAAAAACTAAAAAAATAGAGCAGAAGAGATCTTTATACCGGCAGTTACTGCACTGAATTGGAATGTGGAAGGGTTCAGGTCTCAAATTCAATGTATCCTATCATTTTACAAAGCAGAACAGTTCCTTTAGGACACAAAGATAGAGATTCATGTGAAGAATTGTTCAGTCTGGTTCATAAACATGCAGCTCAGATGTTGATGACTGACACTTTGTGCTTCAGATCATGCTCAGATGAGATGTGAAAAAAAGATTTCACTTTTTAGGTGAATTCTTTATTTTGTCAAATGGGAGATGGACAGACACATCTTCCTCATGCCTTTTCCTGTGGTTCATCAGGTAAAGATGCTGTGAGGAAACCTCAATGTTCAGAACACCCTTGTTGTGTGGGACACCATGTCTGACTAAGGTTGCAGTACCAATAACTTAATCTCATCAGGATTTTAATGATTATCTATACATACATTGGCAGAAACTTATTCATGCAGCTTGAGTTATGCGATAGAACCAATGTGCTCCACAGAATGCTCCTGAGTCTCATCCCATGAATAGCCAACTTGGGGGACCTACTGGAATATCTAATGCTACCCTCCTGGCCTAAGACCTGTGCTTTCTCTGCAAAGAGACAGATACTGGGGAGAGATGTGCAAGAAGCAGATCCAGGTGCCTCTCTGATGCTACAAGGATGCCAGGCCAGATTTAGGAAACATTCCTAGGTCTCACAATTTAGATATAGTCCTTGCCCTCAGGGGTAAAAAACAAACAAACAACTCTGAGGGACTTACTGTTGATGCCCACAGCAATGGCCCCATCCATACCATTTGTACCTGGACAAAACAAATTATCAACAGCCAGCCCACTCACCACATCACACAGACTCGCTTTGTCCAGTCACATCAGAGAAGTCTCAGTAGAAAATGAAATACGTAACACCATCACAGTGTTGAAATACCTTACTCACACCAGAATTTCTGTGGGTAGTGCCATTCTGTTAGACCTTCCCAGTTCATTCCAGGTATTTTAGCTCAGCTCTAGTCTTTCTATCTAATAGATAGTTAAAAATCAACTCTAAATATAGAGTAGTGTAACTGTGTAATGATATGTTTATGTTCAGCTAGGGGAAAAAAAGTAAGTGAAAAGAGTAACAGTTAACAGTGTCACCTCCTGTTGTGCCCAAACTGTGAGATGCAGAAACTGGAGACAGCCTGCATAAAATTAACAAATAGCTGATCTGTGGAACCATATATTCAAACCTGTCTACAAAAGATTCCTCTCCCTCTGCTCTCCTACTACATCAAGCTGTATTACAACTGAATATGACAAAAATATTTCAACAATGTAAAGTAAATACCTGGAACTATCTAAACCAGGTAATTTTAAAGACATTTTTGCCATTACAAATCCCACTCATTTTAACTATATTAAAGCTATTAAAAAATAGAAGCATGAGGATGGATAAATCTGCTTTGTTGTAGCTGTGTTAGAAAAATTAGTGGTTCCCCAGGGATTAACAATTGCTTTGCTCCAAACAGACTGAAGGGTGGTGCAATTTTATTTTCTTTTCATTTTCTCTTTTCTTAAATTTTAATTAGTTTACCATTAGACAAGGTATCTGTGAGTTTAATTTCTCACGATGCCTCCTGAAAACTGAACCAACAGGAATCCAGAAATAGGTTCAAATAACAGACTTTGAATCTGGATTTCAACACATGAAATTCAATCTGGCATTTTGGTATAGACTTTGATACAGATAAAAAGACATTTCCAAAACTGATCTTCAGAGCAGTTAGTTTTGTAACACTGACAGCCCTCTAACCCAGAAACATTTCAATCCAGGGATTTTGTTTAGTGTCTCTTTCTGCCTATCTTTGTGTTTTCTTTCTAAGCAGTTTGTGAAGATCAGAAGCTGGTGGACAGCAGTCCAGAACCTGCCAATACTTTAGTGATGCTATCTGCATTAGCAAGGAGTTACAGCTCATGGCCAAAGGTGCTCTGCACAAAATGTACTATGAAAAATTTTAGGGCATATATGCTTGAAATTTTAGTATTGCTTTTCTCAATTATTTATGACCATGGTTGAATAGAAGATACGTGTATATGGGACCCTGCTTAGCCATCCCTATGCATGGCAGAAATGTCTTTTAAAAGTGTGCTTTGTCATGAAATGAGACAACAGGATCTTCTTATTAGAGGATTTGAACATTCAGATCTAAGTAAAGGATCCCTCTTTCTAGAACCGATTGCCTGAAAAAATCAAATGGGTGATACCATAGTTGAACTAATCTGAAACCTCATACACTCTCTGTATCTCTGATCCAAATACCAAGTGGATGGAGAAGCCATCAAAGAAAACTTTCTTTCAAACTGAACAGGCATCTCTTAGGTCAAGGTCTGTCATCCATCTCAATGGCCAAATGATCTCTTTGTAAATCTGAAAGTCTTGAAGCTACGCTGGGTCTAAATCTTTTGTGGATTCAAAAAAAAAAAAAAAAAAAAAAAAAAAACTTTTAACCTCTGTATCAGGAATTCAGACATATTTCTATCCATAATTCACTGTTTCTTATTTAGGAACAATAGCTTTTCTTCAATGGATCTTCAATGGCAATGGATCTCTTTGAAATTTGTGAGTAGATAGGTGATGTGAACTTCTTTTGATAATCACTAAATTTGACATCCCATGTAGTTTATGGGATTAGGCAAAATTAGAGTGTTTTTCTTTCTCAACGAATAAAATGCAAACATCCTTTGCCTGGTATATGACTCTAAGGTAGATGTTTCAAAACTTTATTTTTTTCAAAATTCTGACAAGAGCTAGATGTATTTCATTTAGGCCTATTACAAGAATCATAAAACTGTTTGTCTGAGTTGGTAGTTTTGTAGACAGTACTTTGACAAGCTATGATGTTACTCTAATCAGTGTAGAAAAATTCCTAACAAACTAAGAATTTTCTCCACAGGTAATAAATACAGTGTTTTGTGAAGCAAACATCCCAGTCATTTATTTCAATGATCTGGTGACCCTGTTCTGAAGTCTCCATCTACACTCAGTAATTTAAGTTTTTATTCACATTTCTACGCACTGCTTTGACTATGCTTTTCCTAAGAATGACAATGTACTGGCAGTCAAAATCCTGTTTACAAAAAGTTCTTAATCCAGTTTGATGATGCAGGAGCTTTGAGAACTAAGCGTAAGCTCGTAATGAAGTCCAACACTTAGATGTGTTTATTGTAAAACCATGCATTTTTTAAAGGATTAATCTCTAACAAAAACATCCCAGTCCCTGGAAAACTTGAGGTAAAGTTGTTTTAATTTTTACTTCTCTGCTACAAAAACTCAGCAGAAGATGCCATGTATCCTTACACTGCAGAGAATACTGCCTCTGAATGCTTTTATTTGTGCTGCAGTTGGACAGTCCAGAAGCTGAATTTGACATATCTTGTGTTTTGTGGACTGGATCTTTTTGGTGGCTTGCCAGAGTGGATAAGTCTTTGTGCTGGTTCAGAGGAGCAATTTGGCCAATGCCCAAAGAGAAGCACAATGGGGGGAGCATTTGGCAATGTCCGCAAATACCCCAGAATCTGCAGCGGCCGCTGCAACACAGCGGTGTGTGAAATGACAGTATCAGAGAGAAGGACTCTGGCTTTCCGTGTCCATATTTTATGCGCCTTTTTCTGACAGCATATCCCTCTTGCTGGGGCTGTGTGCTGATTTTCTAGGATTAAGCTATATCTTCACTAAAGACAGCAATAATAGTTCGACAGTGCATTTTAAAAAGCTTCGGCCAACCTCCCTGCATTATTGCAGAGTCAGATAAAAATCCTGGAGTAACTGCAACAAAAGCATTGTTTGCTCTAGTGCATGTACCTCAGTCACCTTCCAACCCATGTTCTGTAAAATAAATTTTACTTAATAGAGTTCTTGACCTTGCAGCTATGATTTCTAATTATGTAAACTTAGGCAGTGAGCTCTTATTTTTCTAACACTGCATTCCTCATGTGGTGGCTGCTCAACTCACTACCCAGCCACATTGGTTATTTTAACTAAAAACTTGCTTTAATATACTCCACAGCACCTAGAACAAGAAGCACACACACTGTATATCCGTCATTTCCATCTCGATGAGGAGAAAACAAAGGGATAATTATAAACTACATCTCATATTGTTACTCTTACACTCGACATGTGCATCTATTTTTTTTTTTTCCACAGTAAAGTGATTCTGCTGTGGAGATAGCACCAGGTGCATGGGGGTGACCTCACACACACACCAAATCGGGAGCTGACATCCATCACATTTTGAAATTTTGGATTTCATCATTTCCTGATCTTTCTAAAGGGATCACAGCACCTGGCCCTCACAGCTGTAGTTCATTTAGAAAGCAATTTAAAAACCGAGAAAAAAGCAAATGACATCTTGCTGCCTCAGCCTTGTCATTAAGTATAGCAGAATGGCCTTCATTTATGAGACACATGGCTAAGAATTAATATCTTTCAGTGCTTTCTCAAGTCGAGATTACAAAAGGTTTGAAAGACCACTAAATAATTAGTAGTATGACTGAGCAAGAGAAAAAAAAAAAAAAAAGAAAGAAACAACCTCTCTTCTTCATTATGAAGAATATTGAGAATCACACTGACTTCAACATGCTCCAAATGCTGTGGCCTTTGAGCATTTTGTCCCACTATACAGTAAAGCTTTAGCTTTTATTTCTTCCCCTTTCATCCTCTGTAGCACTGGAAGCTTTGTACATATATGGATAC